AATGGAGAATATGCTTCTTGTTTTAGAAAACACTCTACTCACTTTCTCTCCTCTACAATTACCAGGTCCCACTTTAGTTGGGCTGGAATAGAGAACACCCACGCAGGCGGGATGGTTAAATACTATTTCAGGGAGCCTTTGTCTGCAGCCCACCGCTTGCAGAGCAGGGACAGCTTGCATTTAGTTTCCGTGAAGGGCTTTAGTGCTCCTCTCCCATGCCTTTATCCATCCGAGAATTGTATATAGACTCTCTATGGTGATATGAAGCAAACAAAGTAACAGGAAACCTGCTGAAAATTGGAGATACAGCTGCGTCCTTAAACATCCCCATCTCTACTTGACCACTCTCCTTCCCTGAATTTTTGTGTTCCCCTCGTGTAAACTCTCCATGCCCCCCCCCCCACAGTATCCTTCCTTTCCATCTGCTAATTCACCTGTTCCCTGCCCTCATCTCCCCAGGCTCTACTCAACTATAGTCATTTTACAGTAAAATTTCCATCAAATTACTGCACCAGTTCTGATTATCCTGTCTAACCAGGCCCCCTAATTTCTGTTAGAGCATTTTGTTTATTTCCTTCCTGACACTCACTACAATACGTCATTTTATCTGTCTACTTGTTTATTGGCTCGTTCTAGCTCCATACATGTTGGAATCACACTTCCATTGTTCACCACTGTATCTGAGCACAACGTATAAACCAAGAGCCAATCAATACAAAGGATGCCATTGTACATTAGCTTTGTTTTTCTGAACTCTTTAAGGGGTACTGGGGGGGGGCAATATCAAGCCCCCCTGCTGCTCTGCTTTAGAAACTTTAAAGTGCTTTAAAACCCCTGGGGAGTTTGTTAAACATGTGCACTCCCAGACAGGGACCACCTCAGAGATTCTGGCTCAAGAGGTCTGAGGCAGGGTCGTTTCAGTGCACAAGGCCAAGGTCCATGCTTTGAGAAATACTGCCTTACCCCCTACAGCCTTAGTCACGCCACATGCTGCTTTGGTTCTTGCTTAGCTCCACCTACCTCAGGAATAATTGCTTCTCCCTGAGCCCCAGGCCTCCAACACTCCCACTGCCCTCTTGCCTTGGCCTCCCCGCCAGGAAGTGTACAGCAGGAAGTGCTCAGAAGTGAGGCACTGTTGCCTCCTGAACTGTGTTGCTGGACTCTGTGTGTTTTGCCAAAAGAAGTGGGACTTCTTCCAATGTTGATGGCTACAACAAAAGCCAAATTCACCCTGACCCTAGTGACTCTGGGCTTTTGGCTAATTCTGGGACTATGTTGCTTATGTCCCAGCATGCTTCGCGGCCAAGTCTAACAAAGGATGACAAAGCTCAGATCAGCCCTCGCCAGCTACCCTCTGTGCGGACGCTCAGCCCTAACTTTCCTGCACTCTCCAGCAGAGACATTCAATGTGGAAGTACTAGCTATTGTTGACAAGAGGATCCAGGTCTCATTCAGATCCTACCAGCACTTCTTTTTCAACAAGGACAACCTAGCCACATCACATAATAACCCAAACCACATTTCCTTGCAGTCAAATGACTTCAACCTGTCTTGTACTTAGTTTCACCTCCTTGTGACATCTTTGTTATATCTACTTTATTCAATAAACAATAAAAACAAGATGTTTGGGAGAGAATAACTTACATTTTAAGTCAGGATTCTGAGCTTTTCTAGATAAAATATTGATTTTTCTAAAACTAGAATGTGTCTCATTCACAACTCATGGAATGAACTTCAATAGTTTCTTATTGGAGTTACTAGTACTTAAACTCTCTGAAAGCACAGGTATGAAGATGGATAAACCCCTTAACTAATCGTTTTTTTCCAGAACATTAATTATATCCCAAGTGCTAAAGTCTACAAAGCTAGTTTGTGTTGTAGCCTATATGGTTACTTCTTTGTGGCCATTTTTGTTCCAATTTCTTTTAGCCCTGAAAAATAGTCTCCTTGAAAACTAAACTCAGTAAGACATGGGTGCAGTAGGGGGCCCACTGAGCCCTTATTCTGGCTCATTCTGTATCACGGGAAGAACTACCCAACTTTGCTAGCCCATAGGCCCTGTATTTTTTTTCTGATGATACTCTCAACCCCTTCAATTTTTAAAATTCAATGAATACTAGAAATCAATAACTGTTCCACTGGAAACCATAAAATCACATGCCATAAGAAATAAATGACATATCTATGCCTTTTAAAATGGTAGGTCACACTGGAAAGCATTAGCCATTTTCTTAAAAGTAATATTTTCGGGCTGGCCCGGTGGCGCACTGGATAGTGCGCCGCTTGGGAAGCACGGCGGCGCTCCCGCCGAGGGTTCGGATCCCACATACAGACCGGCTCCCGCTCACTGGCTGAGCGAGGTGCGGGAGCAACGCCAAGGGTTGCGATCCCGTTGCTGGTCCCCGGTCCGGTACGGGGGCAACACTGAGGGTTGCGATCCGTTGCCGGACACGGAAAAAGACAAAAAAAAAAAAAGTAATATTTTCGTAGAAAACAAGAAAATTCAGCTTTTGCTTTCCTTATGGCTGAGCGAGGCGCGGGAGCAACACCGAGGGTTGCGATCCCGTTGCCGGTCCCCGGTCCGGTACGGGGGCAACACTGAGGGTTGCGATCCGTTGCCGGACACGGAAAAAGACAAAAAAAAAAAAAGAAATATTTTCGTAGAAAACAAGAAAATTCAGCTTTTGCTTTCCTTAAAACTTGAGTTTTATGGCCCTGAGAAAGCCAACAAAAAGTACCAAGTAGGAAGGCCAGTCTCTAGGGTACTAAGCCTGGAGTTGATGTGTGTCCTTAAAAGCCCGTGGAAAGTGGGGATGACAAAGTCCATTCTTCTCCTACAGCCCCCACACCCCACCCCTGTACCAAACCCAGAGCTAGGTGCACATTTGCTTCTAAGTAAATAATGTTAAAGAAAGAATCACTCCTAAAAATACATATACAAAAGGTCATAGCTCCCAGGAAAACTTTGGACTTCAGACCAGCAGTAATATTTTTTAAAAGTTAGCAGGAGTAGTGGGGGAGCAGTATATATATATATGAAAGCTGCCAACTTTATGTTTTCCCAAGGGAGAGTACGTGGGAAAATGAATAAACAAAACCCCTCTTCATCATTTTATCACAAAATGCAATTATTCAGAACAATGTCTGAATTAAAGAGTGCTTGCAGACTTTAGCTTTATGAAAAACTCACTACATTCATTGTTCTTATGTTTTTCATTTTGCTACAAAGCAATGAAAACTACAGCAAAGGCTGACCCTTGGGAGCCACTGAACTGGATACAGTCCCTTCCAGCCTTCCACGAGAGAGCAGGAAATTAGTAGTGTGGAGAGGAAGAAATGAAAGAGTGAGCAATGAGGAAAAGCCTGGAGATGCCATGCCAGACGAGAGGGCAGGGGCTGAGGGGACAAGCTGCAGGAGAGTAGGGGATGTGGGGAAGGAGGGCAGGCAAGGGCAGACACAGGTGGGTCACTACGGCAAGTCCCGCACAACTCCTCTGCTCAGCCCAACACCTCTGATGTTTCTCCAAGTTAATTGTCAGACCAGAAAGAATATGGGCAGTGACAGGCACAGCTTCCACCTTTTCTGCCAACATCACTCTAAGGATTCCCCTCAGGGTGATGACTACAGAGCTGGTTCCCCTGGAAACAAGAAACCAGCCTGGATAGTTGCCTCTGAACAACAGGGTGGAATAACCCAGGTCTGGAGGCAGCTCAGAGTTTCTTTGCTGTGCAGTTCATTCATCTAGGAATGAGAACTCAGGTTCACACCATGACCATGTAAGCTACAGGATGTCTTTGTTGACATCAACAACAAAAGGTGACTAACATTAAATGAATCATAGGACACTGTTCCAGCTGAGGAAGAAATCCTGGTAGGGAAGCAAGGTCACTTTATCTCAAGTAGGAAAACCATACCAGAAAAATGCCAAGTGGCCTCTTGCAGTGGTCCAACAGAGAGGAAAATTACCTTGGAGATCATGCTTCCAGTGGACCTGTGTTATGCAGCCAAGCATCCAATTACCCATCGTCTGAGAACAGTGTTCTCAGATTCAAAGTGGGAAATATGGCTCATATCTTCCCAATCAGCTTATTCCAAGCTCCATGGTCATAGTGACTGGTTCAAAAATCAAGCCAGGTAAGTGAGATTCGAGTATGGAATTTTTTCGAGCTAGAAAGAAGGAGAGACTCATTCCACTGTATAGTAGGCAGAACCCTAAAAAATTCTCCAAATTAGTGCACCCTGGTTATTCAATCAAACACTAACTTAGGTACTGCTCTGAAAAAGACTTTGCAAATATAATTAAAGTCCTAAATCAGCTGACCAAAGATACAGGGATTATTTGGGTGGGCCTAACCCAAAGTGGAGAGTTTCTTCTAGCTGGTAGCAAAAGACAGTATCAGAAAGATTGAAAGCAATGAAGAGGATTTGGTATGCTGTTGCTGGCTCAGAGATAAAGCGGGCCATATGAGGAGGAATGTGGCAGTCTCCAGAAGCTGAGAGCTGCCCCCAGCTGACAACCAGTGAGAAAACAGCGACCACAGTCCTACAACCACAAGAACCTAAATCGAGGCAACAACCTGAATGTGCTTGGATATGGACTCTTCCCCATAACCTCCAGATAAGAACCTCCCCTGGCCAGTGTCTGATTTCAGTTTCATGAGACCCAGAGCAGAGAACCCGGTTGAGTCCACCCAGATTTCTGACAAATATAACTGTGAGCTAACAAGCAGGTGTTTAAAGCCACTAAGCTTTTGGTAATTTGCTTCACAGGAACAGAAAACTAATATATGCTGGAAAAACTAATATATGGTTGTATGTATAATGTGTCCCTAGAGAAGGGCTGAACTAAAGATGAAGCCAATATAGAAAAGAAGAGCCAAGAGAAAGAGATGGCATCTCCACGATGCGTTCTTAATCCTTGGATCTAGCCGTGCAGGGAGCCCATCCCGATTCTCAACTCTGAGCTGCGAGTCGAAAAAATCCTGTCATCATTAAAGCCAGATTGAATTGACTTTCAGTCACATGGAAAGAATCCAAATTCTTTAAAAAACCTTCAATGAATCTTGAGCTAAAGCCTAACCCTGTAGACAGGGTTTTCATTTGAATAGAAAAATATAGCTGCCTGCTCTTACAGAAAAAATACCACTCAGCCAACTTAGGAGTATCAAAGCCCTAAAGAAGCATCTTGCTAGACTATATTTTCTCAAAACTAAAACAATCTTGACAGAGAAACACATCTCTAACAAAACAGGAAGTACCATTTTGAGGCCTGACATGGCTTAATGCCAAAATATCTGTTTGATAAACTATGGATGGTAAAAAGACAATCAAGTCCTCCACATGGAAACACACAGAGACACAGACACATGCATACAGACTCACAGAGGAGCACTGCAAATGTATGAATTGCTTTACTTTTAACAAAATTAAAGTGTTAAAGGATTCTTCATAGATTTTAAAGAGGAAGATATCTTTAATATTGAGACTATTATATTGAGCTATTATGACTAGCATAATTCAAGAAATAAGGGGTTACAGTAGTATATGAAGAAAGGTTAATTTTTCATATTCATTTTGGGTGGATAAATACCCAAATAGTAATACTTTTAAAACATTTAATATTTAATAATATTTAATATTTACAAAAATAAGTACTCTTTCATACACATCTAAATAAAAACAGATGTCCCCTTTGTAGAAAAAGAACTGCGATTTCAGATCCAATGGAAAACTTCTTGTTATTGACATTAGGTCATTACTGAGCATTTGTTGCATCCTAATAGTTTATTGCATTTGTTTCTCATAACATAGACCCTTCCTGAAGATTCCAGTGGTATTCCTGAGGGTTTTGTCCTGTTATGGTAGAACTGCTGTCAGAATACAGCATAGCACAAGTCTGAATCCAATCTCACTTTGAGCATCTTCCCTTCCTCTGGTTCATTGCCAGTCAGTGAGAGCAATGATGCCACACACAAATCTGGAAATCCCCCAGCTATTTTTGATAAAGTCAAAACTAAACTTCAAAGCAGTCATGGAGGTAGAACACATCTCTAGGATGCCCCATAGGGTCAACGAACAGCTAAAATGCTTCCGCTGTATTCTGTAAACCCAAAGAGCACTCATAACGGAGTCCTCGGGATAGAGTTGCACTAACATTCTTTCTGTTAATAGGATGCTGAGTGTTATCCTCTTGCTGTAACACTCATGAAAGGCACACAACGTGGTACCAGAGAACTTGTGTTGATGGTGTTAACTTTTCTTTGTAGAAACAATGTGACCAGAATTTCTCGAC